TGTGTGAACACAAACAGACATGGGCGGTTCTAGGCAGGGGCCAACAGGGGCCGGTGCCCACTGAGCTTGGTCCCCCCTGTGGCCACTCCTCCAAAAGGAAGAGCCCCCCTAGTATTTGACTCAACAACCAGACTCATAATCTAGTATTAAATACTGTTACTGAAACAAATATAAATCATTGTGTTAAATGATGTGCGCTATTATTTGGCATAATATATTTTTTAAGCGATCATCTTTGTCTATTTTTCACCTGGTTTAATGTTTCCCTCTGACAAAACAACTGGTCCCAGTTTGGCCCCCTCAGTAAAAGTGGTCTAGAACCCCCACTGCAAACAGATGTTTAGATGTTTCACCAAGACTTTTTCCTGCCTTGTAAAATTCCTCCTTGTAAAATTTCTTCATGAAGTCGTGTTGAGCTGATGCGTGAACGCAGCAATAACCTCCCACAGTCTTTGGACATGCTCGTTAGGTTAACTGCTGACTCTAAATTGTTCGTAGGTGTGAATGTGTGTGTATGTGAATCTCTATATGTCACCTCTGTGATTGACAGGTGAACAGTCCAGAATGATGTAACCTCGCCTCTCGACCAATGACAGCTGGGTTCGGCTCCAGCCACCCACTTCTCAGAACAGGAAAAAGGGGTATAGATAATGGATGGATGAATAATCAAAAACAGATGAAGTCACCAGAAATGACTTGTTATCACTGGAGAATAGCTACCGCCTTCCTCATTTATGCATGGCCTGCTCCGACCTCAACCTCAGCAGCAAGGAAGTGTGGACATTGATTTTATGTTTAGGGCTTCAGTAGAATAGAGAACCTTTCATCAGAACTCGTGTGTGTCTCTGATTGTTCCTGCAGGATTTTGGCGTTACAGACAGTGATGGGTAATGTTCTCTGTTGATTTTTTTCCACCATCTGTTTTGGAGATCATCAGAATTTTAACAAATGAGAAGTGGCTGAGCAGAATATAAATCAACAGAGAAAAGTTTTCCTCGGTTTATGAAGCAGAATGAGGATGGATTACTGCTGTCAGAAATAAATGCATGAGGCCATCACAACCTGAAATTTTCCTTTAAACGGTCACATTTTCTCCTCCTCTTCAGCCAGTGTGAATAAGTCTCAGCGCTCCTTAGCTATGTTCGCCTGCATCACCTGGGCTGCAAAATGTGCTTCCGCTATAATTTCACATCGAGTCATTCACCTGCTGAGATAAAGATCCACCCCCTCCTCCTGCTTTCCAAACAACAGGATCGCAGAATCTAGTCACCCCGCTGTGTGGTTGTTTACACGTCTATATAAAAAATATAAAACGTTTCATCCCTCAGTCATCCTTTTTTCCTTTGTGTCCCTTGTTGTTGTGTTTTTTTCTCTCTCTCTAAAGGTGTTCTGAGTCCCTTTGTGGTTTTCTGCTTCCTTTCAGAGTCGTTCTGAATGGTTTACTGCTCATTTTGTTCGTGCCAGCTTTGCTTCATTCATGGTCATTTTAAACTACATTTCATGTCTGTGTTGTGATTTTCTACCACTATGAGGATGTTTCACCTTGGTTCTTCTCATAGTTGTCACTGCTGGCAAATCTGGGTCTTCAGTACAAACGTTGTCCTGTGGTGTGCATCAGGGTTCTGTTCTGGGCCCTCTGTAGGTTGCAATCACGCATGATTGTCCCCCCCCTCCCCATTCCCCTGCTGGCCTGCACTCACACTGCTCCAGGAGAGGAGAAGTTCCTTCAAACGCCTTGAAGAGAAGTCCCTGGAACTAAATGTTCCAACACGCTTTGTGTTATTTTTTTCTTGTGCATTTCATCTCCCGTGCCTGTGGTTACTCTTGAATCTGCTTCTTGTCTTTTGATTGATTTTTTAAAACCTGGAAACATTAACAGAAACTTCAAACAGACTTTCTATTCTGCACTCAGTCCCTCTCGACGTGCAGCGCCTCAGGCTTTGAGTCTTTCATTTCAACTTCAAATTAAAACTTTCTAAGTAACTGTGAACATGAGCGCCGGGTTCAGCTCCTGGATGATTTATGATCTGAGTGCTGCTCACTGTCGACACTAACTCTGACACACAGGACAGGATGGTGCGCTCAGAAGCAGGAGAGTTTGAAGAGCCAAAGTTTTATTTCTAGGGCGAACACACGTTGACGCTGAGCACATTGATTGAAGGCTGTTTGATTTGAAAGTGTTTTAGGTGGTGGCTTTCATCAGAAGTCTGACCTTACAGTTTGTTTTGAAATGTGTCCTCAGATCTTTTTGTACCTGTTTGAGTAGAAGCGTATCCTCTGGATCTCTTTAGAGACGTGTGAGGTTCATTGTACACTTTGAATTTTAACTTTTTTCCTGATAAAAAAACCTAAAAAACAACTTCAGACTTTCGTTCAACATTTATATTCTCCTCTCATTTCTTCTCCTACGTGTTGCTTTAGAGCATTATCTCAAAGTAAAGACTTAATTGGTTCTTTTGAGTGTTTTGAGGAAACACAAACCCCATTTTAGAAATTAATGCATTTTAATTAAAAACACAATATGTCCACTCTGGATTTAATTAAAAGCTAACTTCTCTCTTCTTAGTGACGCACACTGCACAAAGCTTTACATATTTAAGTTATTGTTGACATTATGACACCTGTGATCACGGTCTGTTAGTCCAGTGAGCATCATGACACAGAGTTAACACCTCACAAAGGCTGAGGAGGAAATAATGAGCATGCTTTGTTAATATTTTATGGCGAGGAGCGCTGACTTCCACGTGTATCACAGCATGAGGAGCGGGGGGGCGGGGCTTAGATTCCTGCTGGATGACATTTTTCAAACTCTTAGCTCTCATCTCACCGTGAAAAGCTTTCGACCTTTTTAACCTTGAAAATAATTGAGTTTGTCATATTGAAATGTTTGCACGACCTCGCTGGTAAACAGATGCAGAGGAGTCGAAGTCAACACTTTATTCAACATGTTCCATATAAAGATGCAGGTGATGTTTGCACTGACAGATCTGAGAGAAATTCAAACTTCCTTTAGCTTTCACCCGGCATAAAACATGAGCGTTCAAAGACTCTGAACAGCTTTTGATCAATAATTCAAAAGAAATGAGATTCAACTGAATTTAACCCCCAAAATAAGACAAATGCTTTTCAGTTTCTGTGTTTCCAGATGTGACATGTAAGAGTTAGAACATGCAGCCAGTTACAACAGACATGTCAACGTGCACATTTTTATCACAGACAAAAATAGTTCACTTTAAATACACAGAACAATAACTTCTTTGCAAGCCAAAAAGCGACACAGAAACCATCAAATGTTGTTTTTTTGTACACATTGTGATCACATAATGCGTCGTCTGCAGCTCTTTGTGCTCGCTGTAATATTTGTCACAGCTGAATGCATTTCTCTGATGTTTCTGATGTTTCTGAATGAGCACGCAGAGACCTGTAAAACAGTCAAATACACAGTTTGAGTGTCACAGAGATGAGCCAATGAGAACATTTCAGAGACAGTCCATGCAGCGATGTGTGTGGCTCTGTGTAAAGACCATCCATTAGTGCTTTGACAACATTTACTAAAAACATGACGACATGAAAAACAACATATTGAATCCATGAACTGACTGCAGAATGAAACATGAAACAGCCTTACGATAAAATACAGTTAAAAAATATCTAACATAAAAATGTTCATGTTGAGTTGCTCAGCCAGAATTTGCAGAGTCATGAGACTCTTTATTTTGGAAATAACACAGAAGACAAAAACACACGTTTGGAGCCCGGGGAATTGACGGCATTTCTGGGCCCCATGAACAGAACTCACATCGGGCCCCTCCACCACAGCATCAGCCACCCTGTGACATCACTTTAACCCCCTCCCCCCCCACCACCTCCATAAGACAAATAACTCATTAAAAGCTTTAAATTAAGATTCTCAACATTTTCCTCCTTCTAAACTTTAAAAAAACGAACATTTTAAAAAGATTCAATCTCTAATTTTAATGATCGACACAGTGGAAAAAGTACTGCCGTTTGGAGATTTTCCCTTCATGACATCACAAAGGGCAGTAGCCCCTCCCCCAGGTGGGTGACACTCCCACAGCTAGGTGTTTGTTCTGCCCTCTGAGTCTGCCTTCTCACTGTAAACAATAGGACATGGAGCGAGAAAGCACCGAGTACACCCAAGCCCTTCCAGAGAGGGGGCGTGGTCAGACACAGCTCATTTACATATTTAAAGGTACATACACAGAAACAGCCTGTTCTGAGCAGGGCTGAAATAGAGGGGTTTATAGACATGATCAAATACAGGATCAGAGTGGATTTAGAACAAGAAACTTCACACACATGTTTTGAGGAGCTCTGAGACTTATTTACACTGAAGAAGAGGAGGAGGATATGTCACCTTTAAGTAAAAAAATATCACAATGAATTAGAACATTGGTTCCCAATCTGGGGTCCGACCTCTCTTTTGGGGAACGCCTGAGACTTTAGGGGGGGCTGAAGCTCTGTCTGCTCTGAGGTTGTCAAAATTAAATATGTTAAAACATTACTGGGAAATTTATGGAAAGGTGTCTGGATTTGATCAATAAAGATAATAAAATGAATGTTTACTGTTGAAATCAAAGCATCACTTTTTTTCCTGTGGGTCCTGGGGGGGGGGGCTCGGGAGATACTGTGATGTCATGATTTTAACACACATTAAACACTCATTGAGCTCTCTAATGAATCAGTGTTTCTTGTTTTGGCCGATTGGTCGACTCAGCCGGATTTTCTGTCACTCGCTGAGTCTGAAAATGTCATCGACACTATTCTTCCAATTTCCATTTTTCAGCTCCGGTGTGCCTCTCTTACTCACATCCAAAGTTCTCAGATGATATTACCTCATGGCTCATAGTTTTTCTTATTAGTTCAGTAGCGTTACATTCTGATTGGAAACAACCTCCTGATTGTTGTCGTGGTGTTTTATCGCTGCAGGATTAAAAGCAGTCAGCTGCAGTAGGTGTTGATCTGCTGATTGCTGTGGGTTGGCGGTCATGGCTGGGGGGGTCGTGTGGTCGTCTCAGTGCACAGCCACAGTGACAGGCAGCATGTTGTGAAGCAGCTCTCTGGGTGACTGCAGGTGGGATGAGTGAGTGTTGTCTGGTGCCATCTTCAGGCTCATGCTGCCGTCGGGGAGAGCAGGGGCAACCCTGAACACTTTGTGAGTCGGCCTGATGGCAACAATGAACTTCCTCTTGAACGTTTCACTCAACACGATGTAAATAAACGGGTTGATGCAGCTGTTCGCGTAACCCAAACTGATGGCGATGTTGTAGGCGTACATGAAGGCAAAGGTGGGTCTCTGTACTCCCAGGTGGGCCAGCTGCAGGATGTAATAAGGAGCCCAGCAGGAGAAGAAGGCCAGGCATATGGCCACCGCCATGCGGGTCACCTTCTTCGTCCTCACCCTCAGGCTGCACGGAGGCAGAGGGGCGACTGTAGCCGACATGTTCTGCAGAATCTTAAAAAAGACCCAACAGATGACCACCCAGGGTAGAGCAAAGGCCAGGAAGAACTGGTAGAGGGTGAACCAGTAGGTGTCGGTGGCCGGGTTGGGCAGCAGGAGGGCACAGCCGACCGAGCCGTCCTTGAGGGGCATGAGTCCCGTGTACATCCAGACCGGAGTGATGGACAGCAGGGAGAAGCTCCAGACCAGAGCCACCGCCACCCGGGCCACACAGGGGGTCCGCACATGCTTGAAGCGGATGGGGTGCACGGTTGCCAGGTAACGATCCAGAGTCATCACGGTCAGGATGTAGGTGCTGACGATCTGGCTGTTGGAGTCAAGCGCTGTGATGACGGTGCACATGGTGGCACCAAAGCACCAGGAGCCGTTCCCCACGAGCTGGTGGATGAGGAAGGGCATGCCGAGCAGAAACAGGAGGTCGGCCATGGACAGGCTGAAGATGAAGATGTCCGGCACCGTCTGCTGAGCGCACAGCTTGGTTTTCTTCACGATGGTGTAGATGACGACGGAGTTCCCGAAGATCCCGAAGAAGCAGATTACCCCGAAGATGCTGGGCATGAGCACGTTGTCGTACTGTTGCTCATGTTCTGCCAAAAGGGACGAAAATACAAAACTTTTTATCACACACGATGAATCCTGCTGCTTGTCATTCAATCCTTTAAATATGTCTAATTCCCCTTCATGTTTGAGCCTCTAGATTTAACAAAACAAAGTAGAAAACTTTCTTTTTGAGTCCTGCAGTATTAGTATTCATGCACACAGTGACTGTAAAGTCAGTAAGCCCATTTGTGTGTTTTCACAACTTCAGAAGGTCAACACTTTTTTATTTTTATATTCAGGTCTAATTACAGATTTTTTCCTCAACTGTTTTTAGGTTCTTGTTTAAATCTCACATATATTTTTATCCCTGCACGGGTTATGTACATTTCTTGTTATAAGTCTATTTTTAATTGCACAGTTTAAGTTTGATTCATCTAGAGGTATTCTTTAAATCTTTTTTCAGGTTAATATATTTGTATAGGGGGGGGGGGGGGTCGGTTTTGTGGTTTAATTTGTAACAAATGTCTCATGTCATGTACGTCTTTGTAACCTGCTACTGGATGCTTTGAATTTCCCTCGGGATCAATAAAGTATCTATCTATCTATCTTCTGGTTCATGTAAATCATGTTAGGCACTCTAACCTGCTTCTGTCAGATATTGTGCAAAAAATGATTGTGCAGTAAATTAAACCAGTGACCCATTCTTCAATTCTTTAACAGTAATCATGCATTTATTACACATGACTTATTTGCTGAGACTTACATTCATTTTTAAAATAAGGAGAAACAAAAGACGTACCTTTCTGCAGACTCTCAGGTGAATTGAAGAGGGAAAAAGATGAATTTGAAGTGAAGTCCATCCTGACCCTCCTCTGAACGAATAATAAAAAAATATAAGAATCAATTTTAGCTCGAAATGAAGTCCGAAGGAAGCATCAAGTTGTTCTCAAGATATAATAAAATGTGAGTCCATAGATATTCCCGCAGCTCGATGAAACCCCTCCACAGGACTACTTTAATGAAAAAAAAATTACCTGATACAGTAAGTCGACGTAAAAAACTCGTATTTCACAAAACAGCTTCTGACTGCAGTGAAAGGATCCTCAAACGTTCAATATGTGCAGATATTTTCCAGCGTATTAAGAGATTTCTTCCTCAAATAAAAAAGAGATTTGGACTGCATGTTCAGCCACATGCAGGTCTGTGAAGTTCCCGTGTCTCTGGTCCCCACACAATAACACATCTTCTCTCTATTGTGCAGCTAACACCTCTCATCCATCACTGACGCTCTTTTCCTTTTTCGAGGTCTGACTTCTCCGCCAGGTGGCAGCATTGTCAACGTTTTAACACAGCTCCGAACAGAATTAGAAGCAGATGTTCAAAAAAACAAAACAAAGACAAGTTCAGCAAATATTTGACAATTAATGGGTTCATGAGTGGGAGAAAGGTGACAGCAGATTCACCTAAAGCTGGATGATGTCATTGGGGAGGAGGAGGAGGGATAGAGTCGACTTTATGTCTTTCAATTAAACTTTTTTTTAAGATGGTGTCACATTGTGTTTGTTCTGGCCTGTGTTGTTAAAATGATATTTCCACAGATTAATCTTGATTTTTTTATTGATGTGAATATTTGAAAAATAAGAAGAACCAGCAGGATGCATCCTGGGAGCTGAAGTACAAAAGAAGCAGAGTGGGATTTTCTGGTAGTACTTCACCAACTATAACAAGGTGCATGAAGGTGTTTGAAAAGCTCCAGCAACACTTATAGTATGAAGATCAACTTTATAAACTTTATTAGACCGACTTGTTTCTGCTTGTGGCCTTCATCTGGGTCATCAGCTGATTGGCTCCTGATTTTAAGGTTCATTTTTGGGCTTTTTATGCCTTTATTGTGGAGATAGGACAGTTTATAGAGTCATAAATCAGGGACAGAGAGAGCAGGGGATGACATGCAGGAAAGGAGCCACAGGTTGGATTCGAACCTGGGCTGCCCACTTTGGAGGACTGCATCCTCCACATATAGACGCACCAACCATGACCCCACTTTAACTTAACAAAACTCTGCGGAGACATCCAAAACACATACAGATTTTTGCTAAAATGAATTTGTTTTCAATCATGTCATAGTTTTTCTCAAGCTATACTTTATTGAAAACTCTTTATTGAAAACAACTACATCGTGCATTAGGTGATGAATGCATATAAAGTCCAGAATATGTATAAATATGTTTAAAAACTATGTAACAAAAGTATGACAAAATATTACATAATAATACACTACAGTACATATTTATACACAAAGTTGTCAACAAATTAAGATGTAAAATGTGTTTATAACACATTCTTATGTTTATATTTGTGTAGGTAGCCGATAGATAATGAGATAATTTATGGCATAGGTTGGTGTTGCTGTTTAACATGTGACCGTGTTAACTGGTGACTTTCAGCCAAATGAGTGTGTTTGTCGTAGTTACAACAGAGGTTAAAATCGCAGGTCATATCTAGACCCTGAGTCTGTAATAACGTTTTGATTGGAAAAGTCTTCCAGAAAGCCTTTTTGTTCGTTTGATATATTCGATATATGCTTTCATATAGTGCTTTATATCAATACAAATCTTAACATTACTGTATTGTCTTTTTATCCTACGACAATTTTAAATATTTTCCTCTTATGTATTTATTTTAATATCTTGTTGCTTTTATGTGTCGTATTTTATTGTTATACATATTTTTTAATTCTTATTGGTGTGCATTAGTCTCTCAATGATTTTATAAACTACTTTTTCATCAATAACTTTTCTGCACTCTTGTTAAGCACTTTGAACTGCAATTTAATTTGTCTGAAAGGTGCTGTATAAATAAAGTTTGATTGATTGATTGATATTTTATGAGTATATTTGACTAAACGAATTTGTATTCTTTACGACACTTTCCTTCTTCAGCAGATGTTGAGGCGACGACAACCACATACACGTTCGTCTGACGGGAACCAGTTAACACGGTCACATGTTACACCGAAACACCAGCCTATTAGCCTTACGCTACTACTACTTCTTCTAGTACTACTTCTATAATGAATAATAATGGAAGATAATTAAAGGAAGTTGTAGAAGCAGTTGTGCGGTGGGTTTGGCGGGGCAGTGGAGCAGACTGACAGGGAGGAGCTCCACTCACAGACCCTCCCAGCTCCGAGCGAGGAAACGGAAACAAGCGTCGTAAAGCTGAAGCTAGCAGCTACGTTCAGGCGGACGACATCACTCACACAGTTCGCTGCCTCTTCAGAGGAAACAGGGAGTGGATAATCACACGACAGGGGTTTTTGTTTGCTACTGTGGCGGCTTCAAAACGGAATCTCTCGAGTGGTGAGTTTTCTTCATCCTTTCTCTTCACTTTGTGTGTTTTTTATTCTTTTCTGGACGCAGGCTAGTCAAGTCCAGGAACGTTAGCTGTTAGCATCAACAGCTTGCGCTATGAAAAAAAAGGTGTTTTCTTGCTTTACACATTTGCCAACGTGAAGCTACCGTACAGGCCTCTGATGTTCATAAATCGTTGTCTTTATTGTGAAGTAAGGGCTTGTGTTGAGTAATGTCATGGTAGGTTTTAATGTTGGTGTAAATTGCCGGGGTGAAGTTTGAAAATGAAACAGCAGCGCAGTTATTGTTATCTGACCGTTAGCCGGGCATGCTAGCTGGCTGTTAGCTGGAACGGATTCGATGGAAGTCGCGGAAACCGTTAAAAAAAGCGATTTAGTTTTCAAAACAGCAAATTGAAGCTTCTCTGTGTTAAATCACCATAAACACATCAAATCAAGACTGTGAAATACAGAGAATAATTGTTACAGCTTGCCCCCCCATTGGAATCCAGTTTCCCTTTCCATCACTTTTCGCTGCACTAACGTTGTTTTTTTCATCGCTGATGTGCTTTGTTGTGTTCAGGGACGTTAAGAGGGGATCGTTTAGATGAGTTGTTGACAGTTGTGTGGTTGTAAACAATGGCTGCAGTCACAGGTTAGGGCTGACTACCTCTGTACAACAGCTCACCTCATGCGAGCAGAGAACTGTCATCATGATCAGATCTGTCTCTCCATACTGTCATCTGTTCTGCACATGTTACATCTACTAATGATCCCTCACTCCTGTTCACTTCATCTGTCTACTCTCCTTTATACTGAATAGTTTCTGCTGATAATATGTCTGCACTCCTGCACTTTAACTTCTGTCAATACTGTCCATTTACAACTCTGTTTTTGCACATTTACATTTAATTGTTCAGTAATGCTAAGTTAAATCCTGGTTGTATATAGTCACATTCTTAGTTTTGATATGTTTAGTACTTATTTACTAACTTTGTGTTTTTTGCTCATATTGTGTGTTTGGACAACCTGCTGCTGTAACGCCACAATTTCCCAGTTTGGGATCAATAAAGTAATTCTATTCTATTCTATAACTATGGACAAACGTCTGTCAAAATTCCTTTATTGTCACTTAGACTCTTTACCAGACAAGGCTCAAGATGCTTAACAAATTAAAAACGCACATACACACATACATAAGAATGGGATCAGTAGAAAAAATATATAAATCTGTGAATGTTAAATTTAAAAACATGTATGTACAGGCAGAGAGGACAGTGGCTGTAATGAATATGGAGGGAAACAGTCATGGTTCATTGCAGACTGTTACTATAATTTAAAAAGCAGTGAGGTACATGTATGAAAACCCTGTGCGATTATTTGTGACACACATCCTTGATGCAGATATATACACAGCTCCCGCATAAAGCCTACTGTATTTTACACACAAAGCTGACAGTGTATATGTCTACGCGTCTGTATTTTCACATATGCATTCATACACCATAAATGCCAATTTTAACAATGCCATTGCCCATCCATGCACCCACGTTCACTCTAAGCCCTGCATACCCATACATAGACGGCCAAAACCATGCATACTAAAACATACACACATCAATGTTGTGTGCATTAGTAAATTGTACAGTTTGTGCAAAGATGTACTCATCACCTTTTAACACAGATGTTGTGTGCAGACGAAGCAAAAGCAGGAACTCGGGGGGGGTCAAACAGGGAGTGGTCTAGAAAATTAAACAGAAGGGCAAGGACAAAATGCAAAAGATCAACAAGAATAAATCCAAAGGAAGGATTAAAAGACGAAACAATGGGTCTGAAAAGGCTGTAATAGTAAAGCAATACAATTGAAGAAGTGAATAAAAAGCAGAAAAAAACAACAATAAGATTAATGAATATAAGAAGATTAAAGATTATAGAAAGGCGACATCCCGTCACGGAAAAGAAAAACTAAATAAGGATGTATTAGTAGGTAAATAAAAACAATAAATGAAGCATGACATCAGATGATTAACTAGATTATTTTAACATTACAACATGATGTCATTTAAATAATCATCGTTAACACTTTTTGTCTTATCTGTCAGATTTAATGGTCGTATTCGATGCAGAGCTCTATTAGCGTGAGCCGCTCAGATCTACACGGGGACAAGTCAGCAAACAACTTAATGAGATAACTTCACTTTATCCATTTAACTCAGCAACTGAAGGTTTAGCCAGTGTATCACTGTCAGCTCGGCTTAAGAAGGCGAGTGACTTATGTGCTTGGGCCAGGTGGTTGGCTGTCAAAGTGTCAGGAGCCTTCGATTGTAGTGAACTCTGCATCACTTGGTTTTTCCCCTTTTTATATGAATGTTCCACAGTGTAGCCGCCATTAACCCTGATAGGTTTACCTGTGAAGAATATGGATAAAGGAGTTTTCACGATACCAGAATTTTTAACATAGATACGATACGAGTAAAATCAAACAATATTGACACCTGTTTGAATACAACAGAAACAAAAACAGAAGTGCAGGCACACAATATTAGGTCATTTCTTTTTTTTCAGTTCTCAAAAATTGCATGGAAAGCCTTGTGCAATTTAGGCAGTGTGCAGTTTTTGTGCATTTTCATTCCTCTTTTAAACACCTGTCTTATGAAATAGGTGTAGTTTTTTTGGGGGGTGGGGTGTCCCTTTTATTTAGAGAGGACCGTGGATAGAGTCAGAAATTGGAGAGAGGGGGAGAGGGGAAAGGAGCCACAGTTTTTTTTGAGCTTCAGGACAAACCAAAGTCTTCTTTAGTTACTATTTATGTTCTCTTTGTGTAATAAAGCTACGACCGCAACCTTCCCGATGTTACGGTCTAAGTGAGGGAGGAAGATGATGGTTTTTCAGTGATATTTATGGTCGTGGTCTTGACTCGGTCTTGATCCCTGAATGTCTTGGTCTTTTCTCAGTCTTGGAGCACTCTGGTCTCGGTTAGTGTGGTCTTGACTAGAACACTACCTGACATACTAACTACCCACACTCCCCTGGCTGTGCTAGATTGTAGCTTCAAATATATTCAGGTGTGATCGAGTCTCACATTGTTTCTTGTTTGCAGGTACCTCACTGTAACCTTTATGTGAGGCCCGAGCCCTGAAAGAGCGGGTCACAGACGGGAGGAGAGACTCGGGAGAAGAGCACCTGGCCGCAGAAGCCTGGATACGTGTTTTTATTTTTTATTCACTCCCTGAAAGACAACCACAGCCAAGCAGTTTATCAGCAAGCAACAATAACAACAACAACAAACATGGAAGCCATTGCCAAATACGATTTCAAAGCCACCGCTGACGATGAGCTTAGTTTCAAGCGTGGAGAGGTCCTTAAGGTAAGAGATGACTATTCTATCATTTAAGGTCGAGGCTTGTCTGCATTACTCATAATTATGCAACGCCGGGGTTTATTTCCTGTGTAGTTAATCATATTCTGTCCTGTATTAAATCAAAGTGGCAGCAACAGGAGGGAGAGAGAGTGAGAAGGAGTTTCAGGGGTCTGATTAAAATCTTCACCCAAAATAGAACGGTGGTGTAATGTGTATCCTTTATTGAGATGAACATGGCCTTTTTTTTGTATTTCTAGATGTTTCCTTTAACCTTAAAAAAATCAAACACAGACTCAGTAGGATTCAGCTGTGGCCTAAACTCCTAACATGACGTATGCTGCACACAGGTTGAGACATGGAGCAACAGAAAAACAAAATGTTTGAACCTTAGATGCTGCTGCTGCTGCTGCATGTACGATGATGAGTTCAGAAGGTCCCAAATGATCGAAGAGGCTAAAGATGTTGTTGTTTTTTGTTCCATTATGATCCATCCACAGTAAAGTGCTCTCAGATCTGCAGGAATGAGAGGCTTATTTAAAGCCCCGTGCTGCTTTCTGGTTGCCTGAAAAGCATTTGTGTCAGTCATGACCTTGATGAGATAGCCAAGATATTAGAAAGTGCATACTGCATTTTTTTTTCTGGGAAGTGATTCTCTTTGGATTTAAACGCAATCATCATCATAATCCGCCTGTTTGTAGTCATGGCAGGAAGACGCGACTGTGCAGACAAGTAATGCAAACGCTCACATCGCCTTATTTTCTACAAAAATGTTTTAGAGATTTTAACAAACCTTGAGCATGTGTGACTTTAAGAACGTTCTTTTCTTTCCTGTGTTTTCAGGTCAGTGCCTGTTCTACTAAAAAAGATGCCTTAAGTCAAGATGTTTCTCAGAAACATGCTCTTGTGCTGCTGGCTGATAACAGAGGGAATAAATAGTCTCTTTGTGAAAGTTACATTTTAAAAAGAGAACGCTGCTTTGTGGGTTTTTTTTTTCAGAGTAACCTGTCGCCCTGTTTTTGATCATAACAGTAAACTGTTTTTATGGGCGACATCTGGTTAGCCAGACATGCAGGTAGATGAAAACTGTTATCGTGTGCCTGAACACACACATCATTTAAACGCTTTATGTTAACCATTGTTTACTCCCTGATTAAACCATCCACCTTACATTAAACGTCATGGAGTTATAGGGACAACTACGAGGACTCATTTATTCTGACTGCAGATTTGGACAAGACACTTTATCTACACAAACTAACAAAGAGCTTCATAAAAAACAAGATAAAAAAACATTGTTGACTTACAAAATTATGAATAGGAATGAATTAAATACATTAAAGCAGGAAATGAATTACTAATCAATCAGTTAAAGGCCTTCCTATAAAGATATGTTTAAGCTAAGATTTAAAAACAGGCACAGAGTTTGTCAGTGTAATGTCTTCAGGTAAGAACTTTTGGTGCTCAGGGGCTCTGATGGTAAAAGCCTGGTTGCCCTTGGTAACCAGCATTGACCTAGGAACAGCTAATGATGGTACTCTTGAGGATCTTAGATCCCGGTTTAGAGCGTAAGGTGTCAAAAGTTCTGCAATGTCAGGGGAGGCCAGACTGTTGTTTTAAAAGTTATTAAAACTTCCGTTGTTGTGAGAAGTGCACGCCTGATTTAGAACAAAATAACCGCAAACAATGGACCTGCAGTGAGCTGCTTACAAATATCTTCTGAAATCGTTTTTCTCTTGTCCTCCCCAGAATCTTAATCTTTATTCTGTAGGGCCTTTAAGTACCTTACTCTGTCATATATAGCAGAGTGTATATGTTATATAAACGTCGGCGGATGAGTTGGCATGAGGGCTATTTTTTCCCCCGAATGAGAGATTTGAGTTTTATTTTCTAAAGGCGTCTTATCTCAGCAGGAGGGCCCAAGAGAGGAAGGAGGGAGGGAGGGAGAGAGAGTCAGCTTAGGAAACACTGAGCTTAATATGAGTTCTTATTAAATTTGCATATTAGAAGAAGAAGTGATGTACTTTCTCTCTAATTTCTTCATCCAGCTGTCTGGTAGGAAAGGCTCAAACTATTTTAAAAGACGGCGGAGCTCCAGACAAAATGTCAGAGGCAAATACCTTTAGATTACTTTTTCTCCACTTGACTTTTTTTTTTTAAAGATTAGATGTGCTTTAAAAGTTTACACCAAACGTCATACCATGCTTTGATATCAGTCGTCTTGTATCTCATAGGTTCCTTTTTGTTTTAGCTCAGTTTTAAAGCCTATAACTTCTCAGTTCCTCATATGTTCAGCGTGATGTTGCTCTCAATTCCTTCTTGAAAGATGCTTTAAAGGCCTTTTTAACTGCTAACTAGGCACTCTCTCTCTCTCTGCTGGAACTAGCTCACAAATAGTGCTTTCACACCTACAACATACTCGTGAAGTTACCGGGGCGAGCTGCCTGAGGCAAAGGCAAACAGCTGGATTTTTCTCTCTTCACTCAGAGTTTCTCCTCCAGCCTCCTCATATTTATTCTGCAGAAAGTCAGAGTGAGCTGATGTGAGAACACAGCAGGATATAATCAGGAGAATTCACCTGGAGCCAGTGGGAGGGGCCAGTGGGAGGGGCCAGTGGGAGGGGGTGGTGACCTTTATTCCCTGTGATCGCTGCACGACCACAGACTGTCTGCATGCCACCTCTACCATCTCCGTGCTCTAATCAACCTGCTGCATGTTTCCTGTTCTCCAGGATGTTCTTCTCCACTCTTTACTTCACTTTTTGATTCTGTCAAAAGATAAAAAGGTGAATATTCTCATTATAGCGTCTTATAGTGGACATTATTGCTTTTTCTGCGTTGAGACCTCAGTGTTAAGGCTGGAATCATGAGCTAAAGTACCGCTTCAAATCACAACACTCGGGGGGCTTAATGAGTTTGTATCTCAAGTATTGTAATTGAGATTTCTTTGTTTTGTTAATCTTATATTGTTAGTGTGTTTACAAAAGTTTTGCTTAAATAATCCGTTTCTACGCATCCTCCAGCTTTATCTGAAGTTTTAAAATGTGTGTATTTCTGTTGCCTCACATCCGTAAGCATAACTGTAAGTACACAGACTTACAGGCTGCAAGAAAATTCTTTTCAGGTTATTTCTGGACTGTGAATGAAACATAAATTGAAAAGGAGCGCCTCCATAAATGTTGCCTCCAGGACAGTTCACAGTTCATGTGAAGCATTTGTTGGCCGCTCTGCTCAAAGGGCCAGTTCACTTTTTTTTTTCTTTTAACACCGAATGAATCGCCTTGACGTTTGTCCGATCCCATCCCCCTCTGCGTTTCTTTCATCTTCCTCTGCCCCGTATTCCTCTTTTTGTTCCTCCTCACAGCACTCGTACATTAGTCTCAAGTCTACGTGTTTCCCCTCAGGTAACTCGTGCAAAAACAGGGCATTACAAGTTCAACTCATTCACTGAGACATACTGGTACACACTATTTTTTATTAAGCATGCAACTCTGAAGCTACAGTGCAACATCATTTTGGTTTGGATTAGCAGAGATTCAAGATTTTTGATCCGGCTGTTTCTTTCTGATGATTCTAGTTGATGTTTTCTGCGACATTAATGTAAATAGGGCCAGAACTTTTGTACAAAAGTCTGATCTTTCTAATCTGCGAAGTGATCGAGCTAACTTCCTGTACCTTAAATTACGCTGATGGTTAGGCTCGTGATAGCTGAGTGTGCTCACTGCTTTTAAGGCCACCAAACACTCTTTCTTAAATAATATCACTCAACCAGTTATAAGAAATGCTACAGTACATAAAGAACCACAGTAAATAAACACACACCTGTGTTGTCTCTGTTGCTCCACTATCTCACTTTGCACTTTGCCCTTTTTGCCTTTCTGACCAGTTGGATATTTTCTTACATAACAGTCGTTTAAACATCAATAATACTAAACTGAACCTCCTCTCTGACTCCACAACATTACACAGAAAGAAAGGACAATGCTCAAGGAACGGCCTGACAACGCAGTTCTGTTTACAGTTCACATGTTGGCTCTACATGTTATACATAACACAAGCATTACTGCATCTAAATGAACAAGTTTCAGAGGTGGACTGTGTTCGTAAGAGGCTCCTTTGCTCCCATCAGCTGTGCTATCTGTTCTCTGATACTAATACTAAGCAGCTCTGCTCTCAGGACAAAGGGTCCCTCTCATCGGAGAGAAAGCCCCTGTTAAGGCTCTGCTTGTATGAAGCATCCTTAACCTCTCTACATTTTCAGTATCACTGGGAGACGGTGGCTGTGTTGGTGTTTGTGAGACTCGCGTACAGGACGATCTATGCTCTACTGCTGTTATTCATAATATTTCAGCGTGACAGTGGGGCGGTTTGTGAATATTTGAAATGCCTTAATGATCATTTGTTCTTAAATACATGTTCATGTTTTCCTTTATTGGACAGGACAGCTGAAGAGAGACAGGAAATGTTGGGAGGAGAGTGTGGGGGATGACATGCAGCAAAGGGCAGAGGTCGGATAGGAACCTACGGTTGCTGCGACGAGGACTAGAGCTTCTGTACATGTGGCACGCAATATAACCGCTAGGCCATCTGGCGCTTTGAATCTTGTTTTTAAACCTGCATTGATAATGTATGGATTAAATGAAGTTGGTGTGGGATGGTCACCCTTTCTGAATGAGCATACCATTTACTTGCTACATACTTCAGACCAGTGATTCTCAACTGGTGGGTCGGGACTCAAAGGTGGGTCACAGATCTGTTTTCAGTGGGTCGCACGCAGGCATGCGACTAGAAGAAACCTGGTGGCAAACCAATTGTCTAGCGCTTTTTGGTTGTGTTCAGTTTTTTGCTTGCGTCAGATGTTTTGCATCGTCTGAGGTACAAAACATTTAATGGAAGCCGCAAACTGCAAAACGATACAATTATGAATTACATAAATAAAATTGGTTGAAAAATATCAGCCGTATTATTGTCTGTGTGTGGGAAACACTGTTTTCTGTAGTATTGATCATT